TTTAAAAAAGTTTAGCACGATCTGGCTAATTGACTTTCAATAGACATTAGCATGAATATTGATCCACATGCAATGAAATTCATTATTAACTTCACTATAAATACAAGTGTTAGGATGTTGAGGCTTTCATAATCTCATGATTGATAAAATTTATAGGACTCTCAAGGTCTTTTGGAATTCTGCTGCAATGTAAGTGCTTCCTTTAGATGGGTAATGGAACTTTGCCCGGTCTCGTCCCATGGTCATGGATGTGTCATTTTCCACAAACACGAAAGATTGATCACGAGTATATCCTAGTTAGAATGAAAAAGAGGTTTCCGAACTACTTTGTTTACTAATAATCTTAAACAATCAGTCTTAAACGAATCACTCTCACATGAATCTTTTTTTTTTTTTTTTCTTTTCCATTTTTGTTTATCTAACTTCTAAGGGCCTTTACCTCTGAGTATATACTCTAAGGTGTCCAACCATAAGTTCTAATGAGTGAAAACATGTAAAAACAACTTTTGCACAGAAATATTCCATATTGCTGGGTGAATTATCTTTTAAACTAGCAATGGCACATAATCCTCTTTAACCATTATCTTGACGCTCCAAACGTATTTTATAATTGGTTGCTGAGGCACCCATTCTTTGCCATTCAACTTGAGATATGGACATGAAGAATTTTAAAGTAGTTGCTGCCACATATGCAGTCATAGATCTACAATACCACGATCCAATACTTTGACTCGATATTAGAGACAACATAACTTGAAGTTCTCTGAAAATGCAACCAAATAAAAAATGACAGAGGAGGTATAATTGTTAAAATGCTAAGAACAAAAAATAAAATTCACTTACATTCCGCAAGCTTCCAATGGTTTCAGGTAAGGATGATAGCAAATTTCGGGAGACAGATAAACGTTCAAGCCTTACTAGCTGACCCACTACACACAAGAACTGATATTCATTTAGAATGCATTAAAAAAAAAATTGTAAGAAAGTCTAACAGAAGTTGCAGTAGTATGGGACAAGGAGAAAAATACTATCGCTTCTTGCATTCTTTTTTATATCTCTTGATAAATTAGATAAGAAGATTACATTCATCGGGTAATGCCGTAATTTGATTTCCATCAAGCATCATGACTTTTAGAGATTGGAGCTTCCCCAAATTCATTGGTAGACGCTCAATAAGGTTATCTGCCAATATCTGACAAGGAAAATGAAAATTTAAGATGCAATTCAGTCTTGTTTGCAGTTCTTCACCCCCACCCAAAGAGAAATGTGAGATAAAGCATCAGAATTCTTAGTTCTACTTCTAAAAAACTATTGTAAATCTAAAAAATAAAGGAAAGAGAAAAATTCAACAATTCCTATGTACAACTAATGAGAACAGAAGCACAGAGTTTTACAATGATGTCATAGGCTTTTATTGAAAAATTTTACATATCAATACTAAATAAGCTGAGTAAAAATGAAATACAATCCCTACCAGACGCTGCATGTTTATTAATTTGCAGACTTCCATAGGAATATCAACTGCAAAATAATCAGAAGAGACAAATTAATACAAGTATTGAAATTATTATTAGTAGCTTCATTATCGCCAATACAAGGATGATTAAAGTCAGAAAATAGCTTTTCAACGACAATTATGACCACAACATGAAGCATAAGAGAGAACAGTCAGAGATAACCACCTATTTTATTGTGAGTTAAATCGAGGGTGCGGACAGATCTGTCCAAGTCAAGAACTTCATCAGGAAATGTCTGTTCCAAGATTGGTAAATGTGTGAGCATATGACCAACAAAATTGATTATCGTGTGAGCATTTGCAAAGAATGGCATGAGCTATTAGAATTCATCTACTCGTATAGTATTTTTTTCAGAATGACAATATTTCTGTGTGAAAGCCCAATTCATGCAATCCAAATATCAACAACATCAGTATAGCCAGATGTATCGTAGAGCAAAGGTCCACGTATGACTAACATTTACAGTTGACCCTATTTACAGCATAATGATATCCTTGTCGATATCTTTCTGGAAAACACAGATAAAAAGAACATGCATGTAAGGGGTTTGTTACTGTAATCTTTCTTTCATTTGTCCCGACTGGAAGAACGTTTTGGAATCCCCTTGTCCTTTGGTTTTGTAAGACACATTTTATTCCTTTGATGAGATTTCTTCCATCTAAGAAAAATCTAATTAATAACTTGAAATGATTTCATCAGCCACAAACATTCCTAATTCCTCAATGCCGCGACATTCAATCACATGCATAAATAATGCATTAGCATACAAATATATATCTAATAAAGAAGTTAATTTGTCAATTACTAAATAAGTACCTACTTGTAACGGAGCAAGAGATTTTTAAAAACAATCAGAATCACTCAAAGACCTCCAACAAAGACAGCCATATGTCCACTTGGTACATAACTCTTATCCAAACATAACATTGATAAGCACGATGGCCAAAGCCTAACAAAAAGACGATATACAGTTGATGTTAAAAATAATAAGGTAGATAACCTTCAGCTTTGAGTCTCGCAAAGCCACGATGCCAGTAGATTGCCATCGAGCAACTCTGCTGGCCTTTGAATCTGCATTCTTGCTAGAATAGCACCCCATGTTGCCAGCAGCAGAGAAAAACTCAGCCTTCCAAGAAAGGAACAACGATGATAGTGATGACAAGCTTTTCGAATCCGTCTCTGATACATATACAATCCAAGTGTCAGAAATAGCAGAACTGAATTGTAGTACTTCCACAGAACTTGGAACGGATTAGGCACTCTTAACTATCCATATACATACATACGTGTATCTATCTATATATATATACACACACACAAGTGAAGATTTAAATCTCCAACCACAGTATAAGGAATACATGTTGGTCTATAACAAAATATTAACAAGGCACTGATACAAATATCCTCACAACTTTTAATAAGTCGCAGAGACCTTTCAACCAAATATCATTAAGATTCAGAATTCATTTTGTTCATTGATTTGTATCAGGCTTGAATTCCAGTGATGAGAAACATTCTCTCGTGCTGAGCATATGAAAAAAATTATGCATTCCATCGTTTTAATATCGTTGATCAAGAGATTTCTAGTCGCATTTTAAATAAATACAGTAAAAATGAACTTAGAACTTCTCAAATTTCGTACCAGGGATATTAGTTCCCGAGCCTCTGCGGAGAAACAATCACACGAACACAGCTTCGATCACTTATGAACAGGGAATGCGAAGAAGTCTTGCCTAACCCGATTTGGGTCCAAAATAAATGGTATCCCTACTTCGGAGAACACCAAATTTACCTGAATTCATGAATTGAACAGTCCCAGAAGGATAAAAAGTGGAGGTTGATCAACAGAACATCGAACATCGTAATAGAATTAAGTGAAAACACCCAAAATCGGGGCTCACGGGTCAGACATATAAATAGTAATACACGAATGAGACGATCATTGAACCTCTCTGTAAAACCTTGACCAGGTGAATGGTTTAAGAAGACACCCGAGGCGGATATTAAAGGAAATGCCTAAAATGAAAATCCATCTTTGGATCAACGACGTTGAATTGGAATCAGATGGAGATGATAACACAACGAATTTGAGTGGGCCAAAACCTGTAAACAACGGATCCATGGATAATCTGAATAACCATTTAGCATAAATTATATATAAAAATATTATTAAAATACATCGTGTTTTTCTCTTTTAGTTCATACACTTTTAAATCTTTTATTTTAATTTATGCTATTTTTGTATTTTTACTAAATCTTCAAATTAATTTTAATCTTTGTCTACAAAAATTAAATAATAATAATAATAACAACAATTATTTTTTTCGAAAAAATAATACATTAATTTTAGAAAAGTTAATTATATATACCAATTTTTTATTGCAAGTATATGTATATAGACCAAAATAATATTTTAATTTTATATAAAATATTTATCGACTTGATGTCTTATATACAAAAAAAAAAAAAAAAAAAACTCTCTTAATTATTTTTGTTAATGTTTTAAAATAATTTTATGGTCGAAAAACTGTTATAATGCTAAACGAAATTTAAATGTAGTTATTTCATACTTAATCTATACGAACATCTTAGTCACAATCATTTCTTTTAGTCACATTCCGACGACTTACTACTTTAAGGATAATTTTGAAATATATATGAAACGCTAATGACATTTTAAACCACAGACCAAGCGATTGGTTATTAATATCCTCTTTTAAACTTTTTCATATTTCTCGAGAATATATAAAAAATAAATAAAAAAAAAATTGGCAGTTTTGTGGAGTTGATTTGATTTATATATATATAACATAACAAACAATTTATTGACGCTATTTAGCGCTTTCATTTCGCTAACAATAACGTGTTCATTCTCTAATTTATGCGTTTTTATTTCCATCACCTGGTAAATTTATCGGTCATAATAGGATGATTAGTTCATCAATCGAAAGATCATTTCGATTCCATTAGTAACGAGGATTAATCCATATAGGTAGTATAATTGAGAACGAGCAAGATTTTGTGTTGTAATTGACACCAACAGAGTCAAATCTTCTTTGTGCTCCAATGTTCTAAATCTTGAAGTTCGGGTAGGATTATCTGAACTATTTCTTTTCTCTCACTTAGTAGTATTCGAGGTTAGCTTACCCCATTTATCTGAATGATCAGTAAAACCTATATCAATATAATTAATATAATAAAATAATAAAATTTAAGGGTTTAGCCAAAACCCATAGAATTTAATTAATATAATCAAAATTCAATATAGTGCAGAAAAAAAAAACCCTATTTTTTAGTACTAGAAAAAGATAATAATTCAATATAGAATTAAAGTATATATTAATTTTATTTAGATGTTTTAATTTGATATTTAATTAAGGTCGTTGAATAGTTTATCTAATTTATACAGCAAAGGAAAAATAGACGAAGGAATGGAAGAGGAAAAGGGAAGAAGAAAATAATTAAGGTCTTATTTTCTCTCTCATTTAATTATATCCGGCCGACGCTTCTCCCGCTCTGAAGACTGCGCGCGAACGACGTTCAGAGGTTGCTCTAAGATCGTGTTTCGCGTGATTCTTCCATCGACCCTTCAGCATAGAGTTCGAACGCTGACAAGACGTCCGTTTGCGCGACGCCGAGCGTTCACCGGCGACCACGCGGCGGATTTGCGGTTCTCCAAGTGTTTCTTCACGAAGATTCGCTTCTAGCCAGGTTTTATATTACAGAATGTTTGAAAGCCTAAATTTCAAATGTCTGGTGTATTAGACTAGATTTGGGATTGAGTTACGTTAACTTATTTGATTAGAAGAAAAAACAAGACACTTAATTAGGGAGATTTGTAATGAATCGAGTGAGTCGGTGATAAGTCGGAGTGATTTATAGGGAGGAAGGGTCATAGTAGAGTTATTGGCTAGTTTTTGTAGCTATCTTTCTGTCTTTTTTTTTTTTTTCGCTATCACGTTGAACGTTGAGACACTTGGTGTGCAACCATTCTTCCTATCTTGTGGAATGTTCGGCTTGCGAAAAATAGGGGAGTTTTTTGAAGTTTTAGAAAATCCTTGTGGAGGTGTGTTGATTTCTTCATCTCTTATTATTGACACTAGGAGGTTTTTTGCTGGTAATTTATAGTTTGATTAATTTCTACGATTTCCTTTTGTTGTGGGGCTTTCCCTCTTTAATTGTTCCTCATTTACCAGTTTATTTTCTGTTGTTTCTTAGAATCGAACTAATTTACATTTTTCTCAAAAGTAATGCATGACATGTCATTTGAATCGTTTTGTTATGCAATAGGAAACCTTTTGGTTTGACTGCCAAACTCAATTTCAGGGAGATGGGGGGAGAAAATGACATGAAAACGTGGATTTCTGATCAGTTAATGTCACTGCTTGGTTTCTCTCAGCCAACGATTGTACAGTATATGATTGGACTATGTACGCTTCTCCTTATTTATTAAATAGACATTCCCTTTGGTATTTGAATTATGGATTGTAAAAGATACGGTTTTAATAGTGTTTTTGATGTCCACAATTCTATTGCAGCCAAACAAGCAGCATCACCTGCCGATGTAGTGAGCAAGTTGGTGGTGGATTTTGGCTTGCCATCTTCCAATGAAACATTGGCTTTTGCTGAAGGAATTTTCTCTAGAGTGCCACGCAAGAAATCAACTGGTCTAAATGTAATATTTCAGTTGAAATTTTGCTTACTGTATAAATGTGATTCATATATTAAGTGTTCTTTCGTGATTTTCTGCTCTATGTCTCCCTTCACTTATTTATTTATAGCTTTCTTGAGATTGGATTGCTTATTTATTGTCCTTCAGTCATGTCCTTTAATATCGTTTCTTTTATCCTGCCTCAGCTTTATCAGAAGCAAGAGAGAGAAGCTGCAATTTTAGCAAGAAATCAAAAAAAATATACACTACTCGATGCTGACGACGAAGAAGTTCTTGAAGATAAAGGAGGCAGTGGTGATCCCCGAGAAACAGAAAATCGCAAAAAACGCTTTAGAAAGAAAAACGAATATCAAGAAGATGAAGATGATGAGGAAGTATGAGATATGAAAATGTATATATGTTATGGATTTTTTTTTGTTGGTTAAATTTTCTCTTACTTGATGGGACAATGCAGGAAAGTGCTCTTGAAAGAGAAAATAGGCAGGTTAAAAGACGAACTTCCAGTTCTGAAGATGATGGCTCTGAGGTATTTATTTGAGCTTATTTGGGATTTATCTTCTTAAGTAATAGTGACAAATGTTTCTTTAATACTAGTATGTCTTTTTCTTAGATAAAAATGTATTTAGTTAAACAAGTTTACTAACGGAAGTCATGTAGTTCCCTCTGCTCTCTTAACATCATGTTTAAATTGAAATGCAGTCGGAGGAAGAGCGACAGCGTGATCAAAGAGAGAGGGAGCAGTTAGAGCGAAATATAAGAGAACGTGATGCTGCTGGAACCAAAAAGGTATACTCGTAGAAATTGCTATTACCTTTTTTTCCCTCTCTACTGAAAATTAATCATCCTTATTTTAATTTATTGAATCAAGAAAAAACGTTACAAGCAAAGTCTAGAGTTAAACAAAATAAAACATGAAGCTATGGAATCTCATAAACCCCGCCCTACAGTGCCTCCCCAAAAGAACTCCTTAGGAGTTGTTCTCTTTTTGCAAACTTCATACAGCAATTAAATTTGCAGCTATGTCCTAAGAATTCCATTACCTCTTGTTCTGATTCTAGCCGTTTTTGACAGTTAACAGAACAGAAATTGAGCAGGAAGGAGGAAGGTAACTAATCTTGAATTTTGATCAGTGAATTATAATTTGTGCAATGGCATGCACTCTTCTTCTGCTTATGATATCATTGTCTTGCATTTAATGTTACAGAAGAGGCAATTCGGAGATCCAAAGCTTTGGAGAATGATGGAACTGATACTTTGAGGTTTGCTACTGCTATCCTTTTTTTTTTTTTTTTTTTTTCTCTATGGTTTCATGTACACAGAAAATTTAATGAGTATGTGAAATAGTCATCCTCGAACTTTCCTTGTTGTTTCAGGAAAGTTTCAAGACAGGAGTACTTAAAGAAAAGGGAGGAGAAGAAACTGGAAGAAATCAGGTACAATGGTTTCACATTATGGCTTCACATTCAGTTGGTACAGTTGTTTTTTTATCTTTATTATTATTGTTCTTTTTTCATCTGAGTGCATGTTTCTATCTAAGGAATTGAAAAGACGTTACATAGTAATCTCGATTAATTTTGTTTTTCCATAATTGTGATGTCATTTCCTTTCTCTCTCTCTGTTCGTCTTATAATTTCTTTGGTCTCTCAAATTTCCTGATGATCTAACAGAGATGATATAGAAGACGAGCAATATCTTTTTGACGGTGTGAAGCTTACTGAAGTAGAATATCGGGAACTAAGGCAAGAGTTTCTTTGTTTTTTTTTCCTTCCTTTTTTTCGGCTTGGTAATAGTTTAGTTCCATCTGCCCAATTTCATTGTATTCAACTGATTTGTTCATTAGTTCCCATTCACTTTGGAAATTTTTAAATATTTAGTTTTTCGTATGTCTCTTGGAGTATTTTCACTTTATTATCTAAAAACAATGGGCTTTGGTGGAATAAGTCTATGAAAATGAAACCTTGTGAAATATTTTGTTTGTTGTTTCCAGGTATAAGAAAGAAATATATGAGCTTGTGAAGAAGCGGACAGACGAGGCTGATGAAATCAATGAGGTTATATCTTTGATCTTTCTATGTTTGTTGTTTTTGTTATTCTTTCTCTCTCTCTCTCTCTCTCTCTCTCTCTCTCTCTTCTTTTCTTTTAATATGTCCAATGAGTACTTAAAAGATAAATTGAAATTCCTAGTGTACGATATGATGAACTAAAAAAATTTGGAGAGCTAAGTTTCATATGGAGCTCAAACATTTTCTTTTATTTTTTCTCTCTTTCATGAGAGTAGGGGAGAGGAGTGGCCTATCTGCAAGGGTTGAAAGAAAAAGGTTTGTGTTTAAGTTGTGTGATTTGGTAGAGAAGGTGGAGGTTTGAGAGTTTTGTGGAGGAAAATCATCTAAAGTCAAGCTCCTTTTGGGGAATGTAGCGTGGGTTTGAGACTGTTTAGAGGATAACGATCCCGCTCCAACTTTAGATATTTCTTTAGGAAGAGAAAGTGTCCTGAAGGGTTAATCTGGGCTCAGTTGGTTGTGAACGCTAGAGGAAGATGTTGTGTAGTGGTGGTGGAACAGCTGAAGGGGAGGAGTTCCACCTTACTCATTTCTGTGGGAACAGATGTCAAGGCTGGTGTTCGGTGGGAGATGCTTTGAGTAGCTTGCTTTAGAGAGGTCTGGTGAAAGGTAAGGGTGTATGTTTAAAGCCCCTGTCCTTTAGTTTGAATCCCTAGAAAGGTTGACGTCGTCCTTCGCTTGATTGGGAAAAGAAGGCAAAAAGTACAAGGTGTTAGAGGTTAAGAGTGAGGAAGAAAAGGATGTGCTGCTCGAAGTTTTGGATTCTGTTCTTTTAGTTAAGGAAAAGGCTTCTGATTTGTGGGCTAAGGTGAAGAAAGGCATTAAGGGTCGGTTTGATTTGAATATCCGAGTGAGACCCTTTTGTGGAAATTTGGCAGTGATCCTTTGTGAGGACAATGTTAAATGACTAGAGATGTTTGGTTACGGAAGAGGGATGATTCTTGACTGTCTTGAATTTCTTGTCATGGAACTCCGTGAAGGTGGTGGAGGAAAGGCATGTGCCATTTACCAAGGGGTGGGTGAAGTTCTTGGATTTTCCTCCTCATTTATGAACAATGAGCATCATTTCAAAGCTAGTTGACTAGTGGATACGTTCTTTCAGTTTACCTGTTGTGACTAGTGAAAATTCATTCTAATAACTCGTGTGCGAACCATTCTTTATTCTCCATTTTCTTATTTTCCTTCTCAGTTGAAAAGAAACATATTGAATGTCTGAAAGATGAGTTTATTCATCTTCTCTTTTCAATCTTTTTTCATGATGGAACACTCTGTTTTTTACAATAAAACAATGAATTTTTTGTTTCTATGATACATTTTATTTATTGATTAATTACATATGTCATGTTTTGCTTTATTGGAGTGCAGTACAGGATGCCTGAAGCTTATGATCAGGAAGGAGGTGTTAATCAGGATAAGAGGTTTGCAGTGGCAATGCAGCGGTATAGGTTAGTTGAACTCTGAATAACGGAAACCGAGAATCCTTCCAAATGAGCTTTTGAGTTATTATTATTCTTACAGGGATTCAGGTGCTGCAGATAAAATGAACCCATTTGCAGAACAAGAGGCATGGGAGGACCACCAAATAGGTAAGTCCCACTTCTCTGAGGTTCATTTGATGTTCTTTCTTCAGATGATGAAACAATTATTTTTCAGGGAAAGCATCAATGAAATTTGGTTCCAAAAATAAGAAGCAAGCCGATGATTATCAGTAAGTATCTTATGGTTCTGAATTATTACTTTTACGTTTATGATGTTTATTTAGTATATTTTGTTATTACTACTTTCATCGGTTGGATTTTAATGTTCATTAATGATACAAGGCGGTTGTCATCTTCTATTTGGAACATATAATATCTTCCATTACCTTTTATACAAGAAATTTTTATTTTATTTTATTTATTTATCCTTCATTGCTGGCCTATGACAGGAAATGAACATCTCCTGATTTTTGTTTGTTTTTGTTTTTTGTTTTGTTTTGTTTTAGGTTTGTATTTGAGGATCAGATTGAGTTTATTAAGGCTTCAGTTATGGAAGGTGATGAGGTGTGGCTTAAACTTTCTATAGTTATTTTATGCAGTTGTGGTAATGTAGTAAAAATCTTTTTTATTTCATGCTACCTTCGCTTGTTTTTGGCAGTTTGTTGATGAACATCAGATTGAATCACTTGAAAAGTCCAAGGCGAAGTCAGCTCTGGAGAAGCTGCAGGTTTTGGTTCTGATTACGCTTTTATCGCACAAGTTTATATTCATATGGACAGAAAATTTAATATTGATCATAATTAGGTCTTACTACTAACAAATTAATATTATGGTTCTAAGGTTTTGTTTTGATTTGTTTTTTTGTGCCTAGGAAGAGAGAAAAACATTGCCAATTTATCCATATCGTGATCAGTTACTCCAAGCTGTAAATGATTATCAGGTGGGTTTCTTTTTTTGGGTGGATGAGTATTGCATTCTGCTCAAACATTGTCAAATATATGTTCACCACTGATCACACACAAAAAAAAAAGAAAAAAAAGAAAGGGTTCACGAGGGGAGGTTAGGGGTTTTATACTAACTTTGGGAGCTCTCCGACTCTAACTAAAGAATACGACAATCACGCACACTTTTAGATATAAGAAGCCATTATTGATCCACTTGCTGTCAAAGCTCATAAAGTTTCATCCTATGTCAATTCCCTATATCTAACAGTCCCATTATTCCTTCTGTAGTAGCAAAATTGCAAACACTACATTGAAACATTTTTTGCTGAGGTGGATAATGGAAGTTAGACCGACAAATTTTCAACTTAGGAAGGAATAATTGAAAATTCTTTTGAAACTTCCTAGCCAAGTGGTGTGAACCCACAGATGTTATCAAAGTCTTCACTTGTTTGTTGGCAAGGATGCACATCGTGGGTGTCCTTTTTAAATCCTTTTTACCGTTTTCAAACTAACTAAGCATTAAGGAGCAGACAAATAACTGAGATTTTTTAGGCATCTTTGAGTATCTGATTATCATTTTGACAAGTTGTGCATGCATGTACAAAACTTTATAGTAACACCCGATTTTCTGCTTTTATAGGTTCTTGTAATTGTCGGTGAAACTGGTTCGGGAAAAACCACACAGATACCTCAATATCTTCATGAAGCTGGGTACACAAAGCGAGGAAAAGTATGACCTTCTATACTCCCATATCAACTTTTATTTGTTGTGCTTAGTGGAGCTTGGAGGGTTTGGATAAATTTTTGTAGGAATTCTTACATTATTCTGTTATTGATTAATGGTTGCTATAAATTATGGTCAATGATTTCTATTTCCTCTTCTAGTTTTGATTTAGGAGTCGTTGCAAATTGTAGTGAGAAAAAAACGCTAGATTTAGGAATTGGTTGCAAATTGTAGTGAGAAAAAAAATGCTAGATTTAGGAGTCGGTTGCAAATTTTAGTGAGAAAAAAATGCTAGATTTAGGAGTCGGTTGCAAATTGTAGTGAGAAAAAAATGCTGCACGAACTTGTAATTAGCCATCAAGTGAATGATTTTTCAGTCTTCCTGTTTCCCTGAGATGTAAAATCCAGTTTCTTGCTATCTTCTTAAGGTTGGATGCACACAACCGCGTCGAGTTGCAGCTATGAGCATTGCTGCCCGAGTATCTCAAGAACTGGGTGTCAAGCTTGGCCATGAGGTGACGTTGCCAAGACTTTTAAACTAAATCCTTGTCCCTTCTTCAAATTATTTTGATACTATGGTGTATCTTATCACATGATTTGCTTTAACATCTTACTCACATTAGCTTGTTTATTTTGTTGTTTTAAAGATGGGACAAACAACTTTTTTCCGTTCTTTGCATTTCCTAACTTCCGTTTCAAATTTATGCAACCTATCTTCGGTCTGTTGTTTCATCCTTGTATTGGTATCTAATGAATATAACGTGGTATTTGTTACATGTACTTAAATACTTCATTTGAATTCCGTGAATGTATTTCTCTTTGCACTCATCTCTTCCTAATAACTTTAGGTTGGTTATTCAATACGTTTTGAGGATTGCACGTCAGATAAGACTATTTTGAAGTACATGACAGATGGGATGTTGTTACGAGAATTCCTTGGCGAACCTGACCTTGCAAGCTACAGGTGCACCTTACTGCATGTTTGATGTTCATTCGTACTCCAAGTTAATTAGCCTGTTTTCTAACTCTATTTGCAATATTCTTGAAAATTTTTCTTTTAGTGTTATAATGGTGGACGAGGCTCATGAAAGAACATTATCAACTGATGTTCTGTTTGGGTTAGTGAAGGTGAGTTGGAGCTCCAACTACAGTTTTATTTTATGTATGATGCAATTTATGTTATGTTTATTTCTATCTTGCTTCTTTCAGTTTGCTATATTATTTTTTATTTTTCTCCTTTTCCAAATATGTTTTTTTCCTATTAGGATATTGCGAGGTTTCGACCTGATTTGAAATTGCTAATTTCAAGTGCAACACTTGATGCGGAGAAGTTCAGTGATTACTTTGATTCAGCTCCAATATTTAAAATTCCTGGTAGACGATATCCTGTAGAAATTAACTTCACAAAAGCTCCAGAAGCGGACTATTTAGATGCAGCAATTGTGACTGCGCTTCAGATTCATGTCACAAAGCCTCCAGGAGATATATTGGTGTTTCTCACTGGTCAAGAAGAGATTGAAGCGGCTGAGGAAATAATGAAACATAGAACTCGAGGACTAGGCACAAAAATTGCCGAACTCATTATCTGCCCCATATATGCCAACTTACCAACAGAGCTACAGGCTAAGATATTTGAACCCACACCCATAGGAGCAAGGAAAGTTGTCCTGGCAACTAATATAGCAGAGACATCATTAACGATTGATGGAATAAAATATGTTATTGATCCTGGCTTTTCAAAAATAAAATCCTATAATCCAAGGACTGGGATGGAGTCGTTGCAAGTGAGTCCCATTTCTAAAGCATCAGCAAACCAAAGAGCAGGCCGTTCTGGACGAACAGGCCCTGGAATGTGCTTTCGTTTGTATACTGCTTATAGTTATTATAATGAGATGGAAGACAATACAGTACCAGAAATTCAAAGAACAAACCTTGCTAATGTTGTGCTTACACTTAAGAGCCTTGGTATTCATGACTTGGTAAATTTTGATTTTATGGACCAACCTCCATCTGAAGCATTGTTAAAAGCTTTGGAACTTCTCTATGCACTTGGTGCTTTAAATAAACTGGGCGAACTGACTAAGATGGGCAGGCGGATGGCTGAGTTTCCTCTTGATCCCATGCTTTCCAAGATGATGGTTGCTTCTGAGAAGCACAAGTGTTCAGATGAGATTATTTCTATTGCAGCTATGCTCTCTATTGGAAATTCTATCTTTTATCGCCCGAAGGATAAACAAGTTCATGCTGACAATGCTCGAATGAATTTTCACACTGGGAATGTGGGGGATCACATTGCATTGCTGAAGGTTTCATTTCTCTGGCAGCTAATCCTATTATTTTTTTACCTTCTAAAGCTCACATTTTTAATTTATCTATTTCTTAATATTTTCTTGTTAACTTTTTTTTTAAAAAAAAAAAACATGAAAGCATTATTTATTGTTAATAATCTTTTTTTTCTTTTGTTGGGCCTTTTCTCATAGGCGACACCATTCATTTTTTTGGCGTATAGTTTTTTAACTTGGTTTTCAACAAATTAGGTATTAAAAAATTGGTTAAATTATCAATTTGGTCCATCTGGTTTGAACAAAATTAGAATTTAGTCCGTATGATTTTAAAAGTTCGATTTCGTTAATAGGGACCAAATTTATAATTTAACCTAAAAAGTTTTAGGTCCAAATTGCTGAGTGTAAACCGTTATTTGCTTCTTTATTTATGTATTATTTAGGTCTACAACTCTTGGAGGGAAACAAATTACTCTACGCAATGGTGCTATGAGAACTACATCCAGGTTTGCTCGGCTAATCTTTAGCTCATTAGGGATTTATATTTTTTTTGAGGAATATATATGTTTATTTCTATTTGGCAGATCTGATATATTGTTATGTGTTTGCTAGGTTAGAAGTATGAAACGTGCTAGAGATATCAGAGATCAACTTGAAGGGCTATTAGAAAGGGTTGAAATCGAACTGACTTCAAACTTGAATGACTTGGATGCAATAAAGAAGACCATAATATCTGGTAAATGAAAATTTATCCTTTATTTTGGTAATCTGAATTCTGTAAAGCCGTTCTTTTCATTTTAGTGGTGTAAACTATCTTGAATTCTTGCATGAAACAGCTTAATAGAAGTTGTGAAACATGAAATGTGACGATAATAATGAGGAAATACAAGATATACGATGTTATAAATGATTGTACTGTTTGGTTCCCCATTAAATAAGCAGCGGGCTGAAAATTTATTGACTTAATAAAAGTAATGCTATGGATTAGTTGACATCTTTGGACAGAGATGGAGACAGTTTCATGTACCGAGAAGAAGAGGAATCTGGGGTATTATTAGATTGATTTGCTTGGAACTTGTTTAGCTTGATGTTTGCAATGAAATTTGGGTTTTTGGCAATTTAGATTTTAAATTATGAAATGTAGCTGCAGTTTTCAAAGATGTAAAGCTACGAACAATACTGCATCGTAGTTGGGTTTACACATGGCCTGCAGCTTTACTATACTTAGTATTTTATGACTTAACTAAATCTGTGGATGCCTCCTATGATGTTACAATAAGTCTTGAAGATTGCGGGAAATTGAAATACCTATTTTTCCTCTGTAGTATCGGATGTACTTGATCTGGTAAGGTTTCATATCAAGGAGTTTTCCCTTGGATTAATGTGGATGTTAGCTCTAGAAATTTAATTATGTGGTCTTCTGTTGGGAGTTTTTCGAGAAACCATTGGAGTTCATCTCCGTTCATATGAAATTATTTGTCTATCTAGATATTGTTGAAATGGAGCTGTGTTGAAACTTAAGAGTATTTTACTAATGTTTGAATGAATGTTCTTTTTCTCTGTTTGATTCTGCAGTCTTATTGATTAAAGTTGTTTTCCAGGTTTTTTCCCTCACTCTGCAAAGTTACAAAAGAATGGCTCGTACCGGACCATTAAGCATCCACAGACAGTTCATATACATCCAAGCTCAGGGTTGGCTCAGGTAAGTTTTCACCCACAACTTTGAGATAATTTATTGCTGCCTGTTGGAATGTTCCTTGATTTTTTTTTTTTTGGACTTTGGAAAGAGGTATTTTTTTTAGGAGCTATCAGTTATAACTAGTTAAAAAAAAAGGACCGATCATTTTCATACTAAAATTGAAAATAAATTCTGCAGGTTTTAATTTTTAATTTTTGGATTTTTTGGACTTGTTTGCAATAATTTGTCCTAAAGAAGAATAAATAAAAGTGAAAAAGAAATATAGTGCCCTGATTTTATGGGGGAACTACTAACTTTTATATGTTTTTTTCATTGTTTTGATTTTCCACCTCAGGTTCTTCCCAGATGGGCTGTGTACCATGAATTAGTATGTACCTCAAAGGAATACATGAGACAGGTGATACTTCTTTTCCTTTTAATTATCCATTTTAAGTTTTTCATCCTTCATTTCGACTTATATGTTATTAATCAACTGAGTTATAGGTAACGGAATTGAAGCCCGAATGGTTGGTTGAAATTGCTCCACATTTCTATCAGCTTAAAGATGTCGAAGATTGTATGCTCCTTTTCCCTCTCTCTCTAAACTAAACATAAGATTATCTTGAACACTCAAATAAAGATGAGAGGCCAATATTTGAAATTTCCTTTCTAGTAGAAATGAAATGCAACACTTGTTAGAGGACACGAAAGATAAAGCTGTAGGCGATGTTTGATAACAATAATTTTCAAAAACATGAAACCAAAAACAAAATAGTTATCAAATAGAAGGATATTAATTGAACATCTTTAAATTTCATAACCTGAGTTAATGAAGCTGTGTAAGTTTGATTTTGGAAGGAGACAACTTATATATGTCCTAGTTATTGAATTATATTAAATAGTTGGATAGTTCTAGGTTGTAGACTTCATGAGCTATGAATCTTTCTATCACGCGAAATTCTAAAAATATCATAATTTTGTTTGACAGTGAGTCAAAAGAAGATGCCTCGCGGACAAGGTCGACCTGCAGAGAACTAAACTGTTCGATGGTTCCAACCCCACAAGGCAGAGACATCACAAGTAAGAAATTGTGCATGAAAGATAGAGCTTAGACAATCTTTCAAGGGTTTCTTATGGGAGATTTGGTAGATAAACTCATCACCTTCTGGTCTGAACTCGGCCGACTATTAGTTAGCCAACCTTATACCATATTTGTCAAGTATCGGATCGGATGTGTTCTTAGCTAGAATTTTGACACAACTTTGTGACTTACTTGGTTCAGAGGCTCTATAGAAAATGTATTTGAAGATGAGTTAATTTTGTAGTGGCATTGCTAACTGTAATCGCTAATGTATGTAGAATATGTAGTTGAAGATGAGTTGGTTTTGTAGTTGCTCTGCTAACAACTGAAATTGTTAATGTACATATTGTCATAGACTTATGTCTTCTTTATATCTTAGCTTGGTAACTTATTTTTCTTTGGTTATTTTTGGGGTTTTGTGTATAATAGCATGCTTGGTTATGCTTTTTCTTCACTGCCTTAGCGTACTTTCAATCAATTAAAAATAGTTCAATATTTTGGTAAAATTTGTTATTGAAATTAGTAGTTTGATTAATATATTTCCTTTCCCAAAATAATTTGTTTATCGAGCAAAGGTTCTTCTAAAACTTTGATTTCAAGTAATGGTTTTATGCAAGTTGTTCTTTACTTGTTCTTTACTCGTTAGTCTCTTTTGAAATCATATTTTTGTAAAATATCGAGCATCAACATTTCAAACGTTAATTGTAGTAACTACGAAGTAATCTATAGTTGAGATATTTTTTACCCAATCTACTTGCAAATTTTCCAATTTATGATGGACCCACCCTCCTATCAAACCACAAAAATTATGAATTTCCAATTTATGATGGACCCACCCTCCTATCAAACCACAAAAAACAAAAATTATGAATTGGACGGATTAGAATTGTTCAAGTTATTCATTAGAAAGAACTCAAGCTTTAGATAACTTATAATTTTCAACTTTTAAATGATTAATAAGAATCTAAAAGAATTGATAAATCACAAAGGAAACAAAGTGATGGGATACTTTTTAAATCAATATGAATTTTAAATTATATCATCAAATTTCGAATTCGATTAGCCAGTTTAACCCAAACCAATCTAAAGGCTTGACCACTCCACCTCCTTCAAGTTAATGATAAATGTATTAGCTAGTTGAGTTATACGCAAGTTTGGCCACCACAATTTTCGGAATCATTGGATCTTTAAGCCACCCTGTGGCCATTTGGAAAACTAATATTCAGAAAGAGGTTTGGGATTCAAGTAAATATGGATGCTGAAGAAAATTCTATTTATTGTAGCGTCTCACTCAGCTCCACACTATGTATCTACTACTGGATGGGAAGAGTAATCTAGTCACTTTCCTCTGGAATACTGTCGGCCAACATTCTTCTTTAAAAACATAATATAAAAAGGAGTCACCAACCATAAAAAGATCCTAACTTAGATTAAGCCGAGGAGGAAAAAAAAAAAAAAAAAAAAAGGAAATACATCAGAACCATTCTGAGCGAGGAGTCTCAACTCTTTGTTCCTGGTCGTGCAGGACCCAAGTAATTCGTTACCAATCCCATGATGGCAAACCTGGATTTGAAACCAAAGAAGATTTGAAGTCACAAACATATAAAGCCGATTCCATTGAATCATGTTAAATTGTTGATAACGCTAAAGAAAAATCATTAAAACAAGACAGACAACTCAAGATGACCTAATATGCCTAAACATAACTTGAAATGGCTGCCTAGACTAAGTTTTACATAAACTACATAAATATAGGCAAAAATACAGGGCACCAACACCTTCATATAATAAACTTTATACAAAAGTTTTGAAAACCACCTACCCTTCATAGGTTTGTATTCAGCCCCGTTTTTCCTGAAACTGTTATTAACATTGTAAACGATCATGCTACCCTCTCTCATTTGTCTTAACCCATCATCAAACAGACAAACTTAAGGGTCCACAACTCACCCCAATTCAGGTCGAAGGAGAAGCATTCTGAACCAACAAGGAAGAATGATCAATGGATGGAACTCTCATTATTCACGCATAACTAAAATCTCCGCAATATTTTTGTTTCCCAAATAGCCTTGAGAATACTAATAGGGCAGAAGTTAGAATTATTGGTATCATTAGCTAAAGAGTTTGCTAGTGAGAGGTAGCTAAAAATAGAGTGAGTCGGAAGGGGGTGAAAGCAACATTTATTTAGTCGTTTAAGCTTGAGTTCACTTGAGAGAGAATGTGTTCGAGTTCCTCAAATAACTTTGGGATAAATTATAGTATTTTATTATTTTGTAAGTTTTTAATCAAACTTTTATTTAAATTCTCTGGTTCCTATTAGTGAGGAAAGTGATTGTTTATGATGATTAATTATAATTTACAAGACTCCAAAGTCGTAGATAAAGGAAAGGTAAGAACCACTCAGTCAAGGGGGAATGTTCATTATGCATATAAAAGGCCAACATCAAGTTCCTAATCTCAAACTGTTGAGCACCGCAATCAATTCCGAATCTGTTATTCCTAAAACAAGATTCCCAGTGTAAGAGATTGTTGATCTTATCTATTCTATCCTTCTCTTTTTTCTTATGACTGGGATCATGCCAACTTAGATATTCATGGATTCGTATAACAAGGCCAACCTTGCAATATTTGGTATCTAAAAACTTATAGTAAGCTAATTAATCAAGTACCTGAATAATGGTAATAACATTTGACCTAGTCTAATTTTTTTTAAGAAACAATTTTATTCATAATTGGATTTACCAAAGGTGTTATCCCAATTTACAATGAGAGAGGTATGACCACATGAAGTTAATGTATTAGACAATTTACACCAAGATATAGCGTGGTAAACAATGTTGTCGAAGAGTTTGTATAAGTTTGTTTTACCTCCAAATACTCTTTGATTTCTTTCTTTCCACATGGTCAAAGGAAAGCCATAATAAAAATTTTCCATATTGGGGCTTTTGCATTCTTAAAGAGGTAGTACGTTACGGCCATGTCCAATGAATCTTTTACCTACTTGGGAAAAGTGAGATGCCTTCCGAAGACAGTGAGAATTTTTTTCTAGAAATTTTGAGCGTATATGCATGGCAGTGAATTTGTGATTCACTTTTTTTTTTTTTTTTTTTTT